TGCAACTGCTTATATAAATCCATCATAATTCTTACATCAAAATAATTTGTACATTCAGTAAATTATATCCAGTAAATAGTGATTAATATTCTTAGTCTTTTTGTTGTTTATATAATAACGAAAAGATTTTGCTAGACTAGCAAAAAATTTGCTGGGCCAGTAAATTATTTTTCTCCGTGTATGTATCACAAAAGTGGATTATGCAAAATATTCTCGTGCATTATTACGATATATGAAAAGTCGAAAATTATTATGCAGAATATAATTTGCTCTAAAAATAATGCAGCATATAAAAAAATTATTTCTCTGAAGTGACATTTTTATTTCTTGGAAAATTAAGTAAAAGAGATCAGATGCCATGTCTATACTGCTAGGAGCAAAAATTGAATAGAAAACAAGATTTTCTGCGAATTGAATTAATTCGTGATTCACAAAGGTTCGAAGGATCCATGCGAAACGCTGCTCGCGTGAGGCGTCGCGTCACTAAAAAGAGATAAAAGAGTGTAAGAGCGACGGCGAATACAAACACATACACACACTCACGTGCACACGGACAGCCGCGTGTGGGTAGATGGACGGTAACATATAGATATACGTGCAGCACGTGTGTCGTCATTTACAGGAAAGATGGTAAAGAGTGACTTAGCCGGTATCGATTTGGCACATATTCGCCGCGCGGCATCGATAAACGCCGCGTAAATGTTGTACGCGAAACGCCGTGCTCTTTTATCTGCGTTGCATGCAGCGCCTCCGCTCTGCGCATCATAGTTCGAATTTCTTTTGTCATACTTTGCAGGAATTTTGAGCATGTATCCCCTCGCCTCTGACATCGTCAATCAGGTTCCGCGGCGACGGACCAGAAGCCTCAATCGCGAAGGTGTTCTTGCACAGAGAAATTCAGGACTTAACTGCGCTGTTTGAATTTAAATTTCAATTGAGATAACACAGTTGTTGAGAGAGAATGACCTCAATTTCCGTGTGTTGTTACAACTAATTATCAGCGACAATACACGGAGAAAAATAATTTTGCTCTTAGCAAAATAATTTGTAGATTCAGCAAATTATATCCAGCAAATAGTGATTAGTACTCTTAGCAAATCTTTTTGCTGTCCATATAATAACGAAAAAATTTTGCTAGGCCAGCAGAAAATTTGCAGGGCCAGCAAATTATTTTTCTCCGTGTAAGAAGAACGATTTCATTTAAAACAACTTACATTCGATCGACGCTAAAAGCGAAGGCAGCGCGAAATTCAGGACTCGTCTAGACACCACCGCGCGCATACATGACGGACACCGCAGCGTGCACCCACGCGGTGTCCTCGCGGATCGTTAAATAGTTTATGCATGGACGTAGGTAATGTCAGCCCGATGCGATTCGCCTACAGCGTATGCCTACATCTGCGAGGCGATACGATGTGGTACGGAGCATGGCCTGGCGAAAGAAAGGCAGTGTGTCAATGCGCACTCCCAAGTATCGAGTATCTAACGCTCTTATCACCGGCCACGCTATATCGCGCTCCACATTTAGCGCTAAACGCGGCCGTATTATATTCGTCCGGCGTTCCTTTAACGGAAGATCAATGTTATCCTACGCCGAGAATGGTACGAGCATGTTTAGCGTTAAACGCGACGCGGGAATCGGGCCTCGCAGTTGACGGTCGATGGAGCTGCAATTCCCGTTTGCGTTTCTCCCCCGAGGAAAATTTCAACCGTCGCCTGCTCGCGCTGCCTTCGCTTTTAGCGTCCGTCGAAGTTATTTCAAATGACTCTTGTTGTCGCTGATAATTAGTTATTGAGATAATTAGTTATTGAGATACAATACACAGAAATTGAGATCATTCTCTCTCAATAATTATGTTATCTCAATTGAAATTTAAATGCAAACTATACAATTTAGTTTGAATTTAAGTTGTTTTAACCTGTAACACTATGTTAACAATTATTTCAATGTATTTCTATATTAATAGCCCAACGTGAGACTAAACTAACAAGAAAGCATAATCATTTATATTTTTATTCATAAATAATTAATGGATCACCGACAAAACTAACGTTTATGTAAACTTCTGTCAAAAATAAAAAAATAATAAGAAATAAATTGATCGATAAGTATCAATTATAATGAGATAATGCTAGTTGTAATTGAATTAACAAATGAATCATGCCCGAATAATATAGACTTGAACGAATAATCATTATATAACGTTATAAACTTGCATAGACATCTTTTAACAAAATTTTAAAAGCTTTTTAATAATATTAAATACAAGTATATTGTTAATGTTTTAATTTTATATATATATATATATATATATATATATATATATATATATTGACACAAGATTACCTTAAGTAATTTCAACAACTAACTTGAATTGCATCAACAGCAATAGCAATGAGCCGTTTGAAACAAGTTCAAATTGATTAATCCTGAAAATGTAACATAGTTATTAAATTATTTCAGTATTTCTACATTAAGTTATAGAAATAGTGAGAAAGAGAGAAAGAAATGCAATGACGTATTAAAATAATATAATTAAGGTAAAAAAGAAAGAATACATAGTACGTGGTTTTGAGGAGAAAATAAAAATTATATACATACACACACAAACTAGGTTCGCTATATTAAATGACGTTAAATGACGATATAAATTGTTGATTTCTCTACGATCGTGGGACATTCCATATGTGGAGAGACCAATCGAATGCGCTTCTTCCAGCTATAAGCTACTTAAACATATAACAACTACTTCCGTGCGCGAGACCGGTCGTTTAACGAACTCTTTATGGCAACTTTTTAAGCATATAATTGATCATAAGCCGGGATATAGTTGCGTTTCCGTTCAAGTGCCGCGGAAGGACTGCATTACGCATTCCCACACGACAGAATTTTATATTCGCGGAACTTGTCTTTTTCCGCGGAACCCGCCTCATTTGTGAGTCATCCGTATTGACGCCGATATCGTCCGTCATCGAGTATGTTTTTTACTGCATAATGCGCAACAATTTTCGCATCGATTTTACGTCGCGATAAGATTACCTTGTATTCGGGTCATTCTTTGAGCGCAAAGATGAGAAATATCGATTACACCATCGCGATTCTTATCGTATTCGCATTTGACTGATTAAAACTTTACCGACAAAATGCTGATTTCTTTCTGCAAAGTTTATATCGTACTGGTTGCACGGAATTACAAATGCTTTCACATACTGAAAATACATGCAATAATTGGAACATTGCTCGATATGTGACGAAAACAATAAAAAAATTTTTAATTTTAATTAATATCCCGAGCTTTGTTAGTTGGGATAAATTAGTTCGTAAAAAAATTCTGTGACGAGAACCCCTCCGCACTACCTTCATTTTTAACATTAGTTAAATGGAAGTTATCTCAAATAACTCGTTTCTAGTATCGCTGATAAATAGTTGTTGAGATAACAACACTCACAGAAAATGAGGTAATTCTCTCTCAACAATCATGTTAAGTTATCTGAATAGAAATTTAAATTACTATCGGGAGAAAGGGTTACCTTTCGGACAATTTTACAAATGTGCTTAATCTCAAGTGAACAATCCCAATTGTAATTGTGAAAATAGGAATTCTCTCTCTAACTAATACAATTAATGTTAGTGCGGCAAATAAGAATATTAGAAACATGAAAGTCAGGTCTCTCTAATTAAAAAACTTCATAAACGGAGTAAGAATTCTAATCGCTTTACCGATCGTAAATGCTATTTTTATAAATATCATACAATTATAGTAATTATTGTAGAAGTAAGAATTATCTCTTCAACTGATACAATTAACATTAATGCAACGGGTAAAAATGTCAAAAACGTGAAAGAGCCAGGCCTCTAATTAAAATTCTTCGAAAATAGAAATCCTAAGTTATTTTTACGAACGCAGTTCTTGCTTTTACAAATATCGAATAACGATAGTTATAAAAATAGAAACGCTTTCTCCAGCTGATATAATTAACGTTAATGCGATAGATAAAAATATCGATCGTTCTCTATCTATCCCCGTCATCTATGTGCTTATTTTTTTCTTATCAATTGCGTCACGTTTATTATAGAATGTGGTAACGATCGATCCGCTCACGAAATCCTGCACGTTGGAAAATTCCGCTGCCACCGGAAGCGGGAAGATCTACCAATTCGATGCCGCCTTCGGCACGTCCGCCACCACGGAATCGGTGTACGAGAACGTCGGCTCGGTGATCGTCGAGGCTGTTTTGGAGGGTTACAATGGCACCGTGTTCGCTTACGGACAGACCGGCTGCGGGAAATCCTTCACGATGCGAAGTTTCATCGAGCGGGCCTTGGAACATCTGTTCGAAGCGACTTCGACCGCCAGCTCCGAGACGAGGTATCGCGTCTTGTCTTCATTTTCTTGTGCTGTCGGTTGATTAAAGATTGTAACAGATTTTCTCAACGCATCCCGTATCCAATAGAAGAATTTGTTTTTTAGAAAATCTCAGGAGATGCATTTTATTATTGCATACAGAACGCATGAATGAATTGCAGATCTCGCTGATGATAAACGATGAAACTTTTAATCAGTCGACTGAGCAGCAATTAACATATACACACACACACACCATCGTGATTGTATAGAATAATAAGTGATAATTATTGAGAATCATACACATAGGATTTATAGAATCATGATATAAGTATTTAAATTGATTCTGGGAATTTGATTCTGGGAAATCTGGCTTTAAAATTTGTGTGGAAAATTGCTAGAAAAAAGAATAAAAATACAAAAATGAAGAATTCTTATCTATATTAGAGAATTATCGTGAAACTGTAGAATTTATCATAAATCTATCAATAATAGAAATTATAAGACTTAAAAATTTCATTTAAAAATATAGAGAAAAATAATAGAGAAAAAAATTATATTTATAAATTACATAAAAAAGGATATTAAGATCAGTTCTGGAAACTTTCCAAGGCGATATCAAAAAATCCAAAATAAAAGGGTTAGAGGTAAGAGCATTTAAGAGCCAAGCACAGGTGTAAAAGTGCAATCAATGTATTACAACTACGAGGGTGGTCTGAAAAGTTTCCGACCTCAACGTGAAGATAGCAGCACTTGTAAATAAAAGCTAGTGAATTTCGTTGTTCATCTGTTGACAGTTACTCACCGAAGTTTCAGCCATTTTGGACTCGCAGTTGTTATGTAACAGTCGTTTGAGTAAGTTGATGTGAGTGTTTTTGTGAAAATGGACAAAATCGAGTATCGAGCTGTCATTAAATATTTGTTTTTGAAAGGCAATACGCCTACGCAAATCAAAGATGAGTTGGATTCTGTGTATGGGGACTCTGCACCATCATTTACGACAGTGAAATTTTGGGCCGCTGAATTTAAACGTGGCCGTAAGAGCTTGGGAGACGATGAACGTTCAGGACGTCCAAAAACTGCAACTACCGACGAAAACATCGCCAAAGTTCACCAAATGGTGCTAGACGACCGCCGAATTAAAGTGAGAGAGATAGCAGAGGTTATGAACATGTCAAAAGAACGTGTTTGTCGCATATTAAATCAACATTTAGGCATGAGAAAGCTGTCCGCGCGTTGGGTGCCGCGTTTGCTCACGTTAGACCAAAAACGTGTTCGAATGAACATTTCCAACGCTCTGTTGGAGCAGTTTAGGCGCAATAAATCCGAGTTTTGGCGCCGATTAATTACTGTAGATGAAACTTGGATACACCATTATACGCCTGAAACAAAAATACAGTCCAAACAGTGGACTGCAAAGGGGGAACCGGCTCCAAAAAAAGCAAAAACTGTTTTTTCGGCTGGGAAAGTGATGGCGACTGTTTTTTGGGATAGTCATGGAGTTATTTTAATCGATTATCTTCAAAAAGGAAAAACCATTACAGGAGCATACTACGCATCATTACTTGACAAGCTGAAGGCAGAACTTGCGGGAAAACGGCCACATTTGCAGAAAAAGAAAATCCTGTTTCACCAAGACAACGCACCGTCTCACACCTCAGCGGTTGCCATGGCGAAAATCCACGAATTACGGTTTGAACTGCTTGACCATCCACCTTACTCACCAGATCTAGCCCCAAGCGACTTCTTTTTGTTCCCTCATCTAAAAATTGCGCTCGGAGGACAGAGATTTTCGTCAAATGAAGAGGCAATCACCTTCGTGAACAATTATTTTGCAGAGAAAAACGCCGAGTACTATTTCGACGGGTTACAGAGATGGGAGCATCGCTGGGAGAAGTGTGTAGATTTACAAGGAGACTATGTTGAAAAATAAAAAACAATTTTCAGAAAAAATGACTTGTATCTTTGTTAGGTCGGAAACTTTTCAGACCACCCTCGTATACAAATATATAAAATTTCTTACGTTTCGATCCGACTTGGGTCCTTCAGAAAATTAAAAGTTAAGAAAGCACATTAAAGGTCAAGCACAAAAAGAAAAACGCACGCAAATACCAGGAAAAATATCTAACTAGATCAAAAAACTTTTAACTTTAACTTTTAATTCTCTGAAGAGGACTCAAATCGGGTCGAAACGTAAGAAATTTTATATATTTATATAGTTGTAATACATTGATTGCACTTTTACATCTGTGCCTGGCTCTTAAATGCTCTTATCTCTAACCCTTTTATTTTGTGTTTTTAATAACTTAGCCATTCTTCCTTTTACTTTTTATAAAAAAATCCGTAATTAAATTAAACTTGATTGTTAGTTAAAAGTGTTCTTAATTTAAAAAATTTATATAAGGTTATCATTACAAATATATATTTAAGAGTGGATCCCCCATGTCGGTCATGTTATTGCAGGTTAGGTCATGTAGCGTTAGTATGTAGAATACATTCTGAGATAGTTTTTTAGAGTTTTCTAAAGTAACATTTGTACTTGAAAAGCAATATTTCCGAAATTGACGTCAGTTGTGTCTATTGCGTTCTGCGTCGTCTCCTGGATGACAATACGTGTTTGTGTCACTCCATTCCCTCAACAGCACGCCCAGAATCTTGAATATAATTTTCCAGTATCTCGCGCCCATAACGTTAGATCCATCGTAGCTGTATATTTGGATTCTCGCATGCGCAGTGGTATCTGTCCTGCGCATGGGCCGAAAGTCGGTCATGTTACTGCAGGTTAGGTCATATAGTGTTAGCATACATAGCACACATTTTGGGATAGTCTTTTAGAGTCTTTTAAGGTAACTTTCGTGTTTGTAAAAATGTATTTTTGCAAATGACGTCAGGTATACGTATTTCGCTCTACCATAGAAAAAGGAGGGCATACTAGGTGGCGGCGGGACGCCATGCGTTCGAGATCTGCGTATCTTTTCGTTCCAGAGAGAGAAAAATATCAAGGCCGGGACTCGAACCCGGATCTTTCGCTTGCCGGGTAACTGCTCTAAACCACTGAGCTACCTGACGTTCCACGCTCACGACACTCTCCTCTCCCCAAATAACGCTCAGATGCCGTTCGGAAGCGACATCTTTGGCGCGATCCCGAGCGCACGGCGATGACAGAGAGAAACAATGTTACTGTACCAACTGGTACAGCTGTCAGTCTCTCAAAGTCAAAGGTTGCTATCCTTTAAGACCTGCTGTCCATGTATGCTCGTCTCCATCATTGCCCCTCCTTATCTGGTGCAAACAATACAAATAAGCCCCGGGGTCGACACCAATTTTTTGGCAGCCCCCGGGTGCTTGGACGCAATGCGCCATGGGGGATCCACCAGATAAGGAATCAGAAACTTTCCGATTTTTACGTTCAGGTACTTAGCGTTGCTGAGCTACCTCGAGATCTACAACGAGCGGCTGCGCGACTTGCTGCAAGACGATACTGGTGAGAGTCTGACACTGAAGGAGGACCCGACGCGTGGTACCTACGTCGCTGGTGGCTTACGCGAGGTCACGGTGAAGGATGCTGCCGAGTGCACCGTGCTGGTGCAGCAAGGCGACCAGAGGAGAGCCGCGGCCGCGACAAAGATGAACGCGGCGAGTTCGCGTAGCCATGCAGTGCTGACGTTGTCGCTGGAGGCGATCGCCATCAATGACGATGACAAACACGGCAACGCCATCAGGAGAGGCCGGCTGCACTTGGTCGATCTCGCCGGCTCCGAAAGACAGACCAGAACCGGCGCAACCGGCGATCGCTTGAAGGAAGCTGCCAGCATCAATCTCAGCTTGTCCGCGCTGGGAAATGTCATCAGCGCCTTGGCTGCCGGTAACGGACGCCATGTTCCATACAGGTACGAAGATTCTTTTCTGGTCTGCTCATAGGATATCTCACAGATAAAAATTTTGAAATTTTTTTAAAACATACTGAATATTTATTAAAGTTTATTAACAATCAGGATAATCTCTCTTGAAATGTTCTTATGCAAAAATTATAATTTTATTAAATAAATAATACAATTATAATACAAAAACAAATATAAAATATTAAGATTTAATTTTATTGAATCTTGATATTTTATATTTGTTTTTTGTATTATAATTGTATTATTTATTTAATAAAATTGTGATTTTTGCATAAGAGAAATCTTAAGAGAAATTATCCTGATTGTTAATAAACTTTAATAAATCTTCAGTAGTTTTCCAAAAATTTCAAAATTTTTATCTTATTAATAAAATTAATAATTATAAAACAAATATAATTTTAGTTAAGAGCTCACTGTGTGTCAATGTGTATTGTGTGTGTTATTGATTAAAATAAATATTTTAATGTCTTATCGTATAAAACAGTGAAAATAACAAAACATAGCCATATACGACAAACAAAATAAAATATAAAAACAAACTTACTTCATAGTTATGTAAAAGCAAATTATCTCTTTCTCATTTAGATCAAGGAGATCTTGACATTTATTATATATTTTATAGAAACAAAAATTGCAAAAGCAGCTGCAAACGATAAATTTCTTCCTCTTAGTTGCAAAATATTTCAAGTGTTTAACAAATTCTTGCGCGAAAGACTGGTATTATTAATGTAAAAAAATAGAGAAGATTATTATTTGACTGTGAGAAAGAGAAACTTAGGAAGTTTTTATAAAATTTTTAGAATCACATTAGAAAGATACAGAACTTATAAATGTATTATATAATTTCAGGATATATAATATACAATCAGTTATAAAAAGAATATTGTTTATTCTTCAGGGACAGCAAGCTGACGAGGTTGCTGCGTGACAGTTTGGGCGGCAACGCACGTACGCTGATGATCGCGTGCGTAAGTCCAAGCGATGTCGACGCTGAAGAGACGTTAAGCACACTGCGCTACGCGGCCCGTGCGCGTTGCATCAAGAACAAGCCGGTGGTGAACGAGGATCCAAAGGATGCGCTGTTGAGGCAGTACCAAGTGGAACTTCAGCGTCTGCGAGAGATGCTGCACTCGAGCGATCAATCGACCATGGGATCGGACTCTCAACGGGAAGCAGACGAGGAGGCAGACAGTTTAAGGGAGAAGCAATACCTCGAAGAAGTGGAGAAGCTGAGGAAAGAATGCGAGAACTCGAACTTGTCAGCCCAAAAGCTGAAGGAAGAGCTGGAAGCGCTCAAGTCCCGTCACGAGTCGGAATTAAATGATGTCGCGAAGATCAATGCCACGCCGGAGAACCAAGTCCTGGACGAGTTGGACAAGGAGCGAGCGGAGAGGCGCAGGAAGAAAAGGGAGGCAGCGATGCAAGATGTTCTGAAGAAGCTAGAGAAACTGACGATCGGCGGCGAGGAGATCGGCAACACGGAGCTGAAGAAGCGCAGGGAGAGGAGGAGGAAGAGGCTGGAGGCTCTCGTAGGAGCCCTCGAGGACAACGACGCCAACGGTAGTGTCTTCCAGGTCTACGGTCAATTAAGGTTTGTTGATTGCTCGATATTTTGTTCCATTTCGAAAAAAATGCATTTGAGCGGTATTCACAGTCCAATATTATATTTAAAATCGGAAAAAGCAAAGTTTTAAGTTTGTATTATTTTAAAATACTCTACTCAGCTAACGAGATAACTCTTACAGCATCTAAGGTTAAACTGTATTTATATTATATTTGTTTCATAATTATAATACTAGCTTCAGTTAATAAGTACTGCAGTCATTATCATTTAAAGAATTTTATAGCTGTCAAATATTATAATTCACTTCTTCCTAGCACCTCACTTGCACGTCTCTATCCGTCGTTTTATACATACTAAATCCTAGCAACTAACTTTGTTTTTATATTTTTTGCCTCTTTTAATTTTATTTACATTGTATTGAAGTAGCTTTTTAGCTGGGCTGCCTCAGCCCTGCTTTTGTATGTAAGCTTCTAATTATATCTTTCTTTTAGTTTCACAAATATATTAACTATATGTGAAACAACAATAAAACTTCATTATGTACATAAAAACTACATTATGTACATAAAAACTACAAAGGTAGTAATTACACATCCTGAGTCCATAATAAAATTGTCGTTGTTAGCTTGAGAGAAGCAATCTGAAATATAAAATTAGACTATGAATACCGCTCATAATGCAATTCTGGATGCTAACATTCTGCAAGCTCAAGACGCACCTAATGAATGCATTCGTGAGCAGGTCGACAGAGGACGCGTTGAAGAGGATGACCAAGAAGGTGAAACAGCTGGAGGCGGAAGCGGCGGACCTCCAGGCGTCATGGGACGCCGAGCGTCGGGACCTGCTACGCAGAGAACTACTCACGTCGCAGCTGTGCGACCTGATGGTGCCGCAGCTCCGTCCGGGTTGTCCCTTTCGTGATATCGTTGCGGTGAGAGCGGCGGCGACGTGGTGCGACGAGCTCGGCCGGTGGCGTCTACCAGACGTATCGCCGCATATCCCCCTGCCCCCGGCCCCCGTGTCGACGCAGAGGGACGTTCTCCACCCCGCGGGGATCTCGCCGGCCAAGGCGGATCTCAACAACAACAGCAACGGCAGCAACGACGATGACGAGATCGCTGAGGAGAACAACGACGTCGAGGATACCAATAGGAGCGGCGAAAGGAAGAAATTCGATATCGCGGACATTTACTTCCGTAGAAGGAGGGTGGACACCCTCCTGGCGCACGCCAGGGAGGTGAAGAACAGAAAATTCGGTGAGTTACATTTGCATATCATGACCGGCATATTATGACCTTCGTCAGTGATCGTCGTTTAATTTTATTTCCAAGCACTAAATTTTCATCTATCTATAATACATTGAATCCCAATAATGCCTTTCACTTCTGGATATATTTCGAGCGCATTTTATCTACGTATTTTTGTATCATGACTGTTAATCTTGAAAAAGATCAACGACAGTCATAGTAAACGTAACGGTATTATACACGGTGAATGCACATATATACTATTATGAGTCTTCTATAATAAGCCATTAGTCATAAATCGTTAAAGGCAAGTTGACCAACCACAGTCAATTATTTTTGAAAATGATCAACAATAATCAACAATAATCGGTCAATTTGCTTGCTAGTAGCTTATTGTAGAAGACCCATTACTGTTGCACTTCATGTGACTGAATATAGATTTTATTCAAAATCAACAGTTATGATATAAAAATGTGTAATTATGATACCCATATATTTACAAAATGTCTTACAGCCAGAAATGGAAGGCATTATTAAAGTCATGTGTATTATACATATCGAAATTCAGTGCAGAAAATTCCAGATTTGGTGACATTATTTTTAACGCCGCTATCAATAATACGTGTTGCTATTTTTTTTTAGTCCTATGAAAAAATGTTATAAAAACCCAAGTTATCGATAGAATCTCTTTACGCGATTAACATATAAAGTAAAAACCACAGACTGCTTTTAAGAAAAAAATAAAATGATTGAGTATTCGTATTCGTATTTTCTTACAAAAAGTATTTAATGAGCGCGAAGAAATTTATAAAACAATGTCTGGATGTCTGTTTTACATACGCACCAATGTCTGAACGATTGTGTTTTACATAATGAATGTTTAATAGATTCAAATTAATATATTTCAATTATATTAAAATATTTCAAATTTTCAAAAATTCGGTGTGCTAAAAAGAGTGTGTTTGCTTCATTTATTTTTATAGTAAGATAGTTAATCTCACGAATAATTTCATTGTTTTTTCGTTGTTATTTCGAGCATCTGACTACCTATTAATTGAGTCACCAAGATCTTGCTTCGTTATAACGCATTTTAGTAATACAGTTTATTGACATAACATTGGCCCAATATTGATTATATTGGGTATATTTTGGACTATATAACCAATAAGTAGCTAATAATGGTTATAAATAAAATATGAATAAATTGTACCAATATTGTCAATATGATTATACCAATATTGGCATACATTGGGAGTGCATTGGGCCAATATAATAACTTAACCCTTTCAGACCCCACGCACATTATAATGTACACTGGTTTACTACGTCAAAATATCTGAATTAAAATATTGAATTTGTGACAGCAACCATGTATACACTTTTGGTTTGAGTATATTTTATTACTAAGATTGTATACATCCTCCATCTATCGAATTGTTTTCGAACATGACACTTCCTAACATTTCTTTTTTTTGCTTTAAAAAAAGTCAGGTCTAAAGAGATTAAAATATAGCCGATATTGGTAACAAATAAATTGCTAATATTCGGAATTCTATATTAACTATAAGATATAAGGCGTCTACTTTGCAATACTGAGTCAATATTAGGTATATTGGGATCTAACTTGTAGCCAATATTGCCACAATGGACTGTGCTACTAGGACAAATAAAGCAATTTAGTTGCGTTACAAAGAGTATAGGTTAATGAAGAGACAAGTGATTGGATGTTGTAACTGAAATTTTAAGATTTAAAAAAGAAAACACATTCTATATTGAAACTTCAATTATTCTTATTTAAACACTTAGGGCCGGTTTCACTAACTCCGGTTACGGTCAAAACTGACATGAATTGCAACTTAAAATTCTAATGGATAAGAATGACAAAGTAACTCATGTCCATCAGTTGGAATCTGACATCGTCGGTCAGATTTTGACCGTAACGGGAGTTGGTGAAACCGGCCTTTAAACAGTAAAAATATCCGAACGATTGTACTTTTACTTTAATTGCCTTAGAACTTTTACTTAATTCAACGTCATTGCGCTTTCTCGCGCCAGCAATGTTACATCTGAATGTCCGTGCATTATGACCGCTATTTATTCGCTATTCGCAAAAAACGGCAAAGAATAATTAACCGCGTAGTAATCGAGTTAACAAAGACGCGGAAGTAAGATTTCACAGTGAATGGTTCTCTCTAGTCAGCTGATCCATGGCTGAAGGGGACATCCGAGTTGCCGATTCTACCATAATGACTTCATGAGAGAATCTCGCGAATTGCGCAATCTCCTTATTAATGCGAGAAATGCATATTGTTGCGACAACGGTAATTTTATTATCTACCTCAACTGAGAGAGTGTAGTATAATTACTACCTTCAGTTTTCATATACACTGAGGAAAAAATTACCTTAAAATCAACAAATATGTTTCTGATGAGTGCCATTAACATATTTACTTAAATCTAAATTCTCTATATTTAAATTAAATATTGTTTACCTGATTTAAGTAAACAATATTTGGTTTAAATAAAGAGAATTTAGATTTAAATAAATATGTTAATGGCACCCATCAAAGAAATATTTGTTGATTTTAAGGTAATTTTTCCCTCAGTGTAGATAATGAAGTTTTATTGTCGTTTCAAAAAGTCAATATAGTTGTGAAACTAGAAGAAAGATATAATTATACAATGCAAAATTATTAATATGACATTTTCAGAGCTAGGCAGCCGGTTGAGCAGGTCCGGCGGTTCCGAGGATGCGGCGCCCATCGCGGGCGGCTACTTGCAACTGAACGCCTTGAACCTGCAAAGCAGCGCACCGGTACTCGGCGAAATTGGTAGCGGTAGTTATAGTCCGAGCCAGCGACGATCTGCGATACGGGGCGGTTGGGTCGACGAACACCTGCCTAACCGGACCTACAACTCCTTCGTTGGTACCGTAAAGAAACATCCGCCTCGCATTCTGGAAGCTTTGCCCTCGTATCCGCAAGGCAACGCACCCTTGAAGTCCTCCGTCGACGAGACATCCTTAAAGGGGTAAATGAAACAAGCTTACCCTAAGTTCCAACTGAAATTTAATGGAAATATTTTTAAATTGAAATGAATGGATATTCTCTGCTAAAGTTCAACTACAATTTTATTGAATTTATATAGTACATATAAATATTAATAAATATAAATATACTACTGTGTCCAAAAAGTAAGGTGACATTGCATTTATTTCGAAAATTCTTTATTTATTCTTGCAAATCAATTTCGTCCCCTTCAAAGTAATCCCCCCCTGATATAATACACTTATTCCAACGGATTTTCCAATCTTCGAAACAGTTGTAATAATCGATTTCAGGAATGGCCTTTAGCTCCTTCTTCGCAGCGGCTAACTGTGTGACGATAATGCACCGTCACACACTGCGCTGATTATTCGTGATTTTTTAGCCAAAAACTCGACTAATATCGTTCCACAACCACCGTATTCACCTGATTTGGCTCCATGCGACTTCTGGCTCCGGGGACACCGTTTCGAGTCGATAGAAGAGATTCAAGCCGCTGCGAAGAAGGAGCTAAAGGCCATTCCTGAAATCGATTATTACAACTGTTTCGAAGATTGGAAAATCCGTTGGAATAAGTGTATTATATCAGGGGGGGATTACTTTGAAGGGGACGAAATTGATTTGCAAGAATAAATAAAGAATTTTCGAAATAAATGCAATGTCACCTTACTTTTTGGACACAGTAGTAAATTAAATATAAATTTAAATTTAAATTAAATATAAATGTATTAATCTTAATAATTTATTAATATAAATATAAAAAATACATAAAACTTACTAAAGAAATATAATATAGTTTTATATAAATATTATTGTTTCACAATATTTAACGTAACATTGTTTAACTTGGTAAATGGTTAACTATTTCATCGCAAATGCCCCTTACTTAAGAGTTCTTTCGGTTTGCTAAATTTTTATTAGCTATTTATATATATATATCAAACATATCGCTTTAAATCTAATCTAACATGGACTCTTACACCTACTTTGAGTAGGTCTCTTTCACTTCTATTTCTTGAATATTCAACAGAGTATCCGAGCGAGGTCTACCATCGAGATTGATACCCGATAACGACGATTACACCAATCGTCATCATCCGTTCCACATAGGACACACTTGCTCGCCAACTTACTGACGAGTGAGCCGATAATTTCGCCGAAGATCCGGGACTGTGGCTGTGTTGAAGATACTAATAGAGAAGCTGTATACGAGGTATGTAACATAAAAAGACATTGAATTTTATATAAGATATCAATTAAACAAACGCATTAGGACTCACTGATTATGCTTCTGTTGCCGGAAAAGGAAATATCTTTTAAGAACTATTTCCGTCGGGGACGTGTGTACTCATGAGTCTCGGACGCGCGACACATATTAATTTAATTAAAATTAAATGATTACAATTTAGCAAAAAGTCTTTACTTGCTTACGTAATAGTCCATCTATTCGTGCTCGCTTCTTGATCTTTGGATCGATCTTATACGTAATCACCACTATTATTTTCTGATGAATAATTCCCCTGCAGATTGGAGAAGTAAGGCGAGAGATCAGGCAGAGAAAGGTCAAGGCGCTGACGTCCACGGCGGAGCTGTTGCCTCAACATCAATTGACCAAATATAAATCATGAGAAACCGTGTTTTCACTGTTAGTATGTTTATGGCGTGATCTCTTTTCTTTTTATCTCTAAATCTCAGCGATGTGTGTAAATATTGCTCACGCGTTTCCAAAAAGCGTCGCTTCTCATTTACATTTTATATTCCTGCATCCTAGGAGAAGCCTGCGACGTTTAAGACACTTCTCTAATCGAGATTTGATTTTTGCTATGATGTTACGAGAACGAGCAGTGAGATTTCTGCTCGACAGCGATATTTTTGTATCACTGATAATGCGCGTACAAATTTTACGACGAGGCCTTTTCTCACGTACCTGATCTGCCTCATTTAACAGGCCTAAAAGTGAGAGTTCAGAAAAGAAACTGCGAAACAATTTCATGCGGATATATAGAACGTGCACATACTGAGTGGCGTGCGATGAAGCAACTGGATCTGACACATTCGCTGCTCAAAATAACAGCCTTTAATAACAGAAAAAGAAAGAAAATTAATAAGTAAAACATTAATATTACTTTTATCTTATTACAACTTAAGGCGAATTATTATTAAGATAATACTGATAATAATATCGAGACAAATTATCGAATATAATACAGTATTTTTATCGTTTCTTTTTATTACTGCCAGATAAAAATTATCAGGCTTCTCATTCGAAAAGATTTTATGAAAATATTAAAAACTTGTTATTTATTTTTATTCAACTTTAAGATTCTTGTATATCCTCGTTTATTCCTTATTTATTTATTTATTTACACATGAAAAACACTCATTAATATATATTATATATATATTATATGTATTATTCTATTTATTTATTATTTATTTATTAGTTGTGTATATTATTCGATTTATATCTATTTATATTTATTGATATTTATTTGTTTACATATGAAAATCTATTAACACGCATTGAGTGTTCAGAATTAGTGTAGAGTATCTAAAAAATGATACAATAGATTATAAACTCTTGCTATATTAGTATCTTTTAAATCTTGTCCATATTAATCTCACGAGAGATTGTCTCTGCTTGTTCGCGCACGCCACCCGGTACGACGTTCGCTCGACCATCTCGCCGAATAGAGTATCCGAAATTCATCGTGCCCAGTCGGATCGTAAAAACGAGATATCGAGAGAAACTACGGGAAGGAAAGCCGTTAAACGTTAAATGTCGGCGGTTCCGCGAATCATTCACGTCGGCCAACTCGACTCGCTGGATACCACCGTCGATATCACGTAGTTACGGCGATCCAGTCTATTGTCGGATGTAGACCGCCATTGTGTCGGATCGTCCTTCTCGATTTCTCCGGTCGAGCGCTTTTTACCCTCGCTGGAAGGCAGTCTGAAGGACCAAAGTCGGCGTGAGCGTTACTCCTAAGCCGCCATGTACATTATGTGTACATATCTATTGTAAATACATATCTCTATTATAAAGTGTAGCGTGTTCACGATTCTCCTTTGATATCCACGTTAAGTGCGCGTTTTAAGGGCCATCTATAGTGGGATTGGCAGTAGGCAGTACACCGTAAGCAATAAACAAATTGACAAATCACAGTCGATTACTATAAGAATAATGATGACGGTGATTGATCAATTTGTTCACTGTTTACGTCTTACTGTCTGCTGCCGACGTAGTCGTAAGAACGTACTTATTAGTACGTGGAATCGTTTTTCTTCGTACACAGACTGGCATAATAGCCTGAGGTTAATATCTCGCTAGCAGGCTTAACCTACAACAACAAGAAGGCACAACAGCCGCAATACACAGTACAATTACAGAGGTATAACTAATATTCTCTAACAGCCGGCAGCGTCATACACTTTACGAGCTGCTTGTACAATTTTCAACCTTATGTGTAAGGTTACGTATATTCGTTACGTGTAAGGGCACACAAAATAGTATAGCTGCATGTGCATAGCACAAGACCGTCTCGACCAACGAGAATATTCCGTAAATCAATATGACAACTTTTTCCTACATGCTCAATATAGTCGAGACGGTTTTATGCTATGCACATGCAGCTATGCCATCTTGTGAGCGATGGTTCTAAAGCCGAGGATTATATAATTCTCAGTCTAAAGAATGGTACAGTATACATGACTATGCACATTCGCTCCTGGTCATCAAAATAAAGCTACCACGGAGATAGATTATTGATTTGACGCGTCGTTCACTTTACTTTAGATAATCAATAAATGATGGATTAATCCTCAGAGTATTGCTGGTCATATTTTTTCACACAGGATAATAGCAAGGATAAGAGCAGAAGAACGTCATACGGAGCGTTTAGCTCCGCGTTGCTCAAAGAGTTAGTAAGGCGTACGATTAGAAAGTTTTAATAAGCCATAACAAGACATGCTAAGGCTATTATGTCAGTCTGTGTATGCTCGGCTTCAAAATAGCTCGAACAATTTTTTTCTAACAAAATTAAAAGCCCATCAAGTAGTCACATTTGCGAATATCGCTTACAGATTTACGTGGCGATCAGTTATGATAGCAGCCGAAGTACACAGTGCAGTAAAATATCAGCTCTTTATTGGACTCTTATCTGACAGATGAGAGTACAATAAAAATCCTTGCGTATTTTATCAATCCTCCGTTATTACAGATGTGACGTTCATGAATAGTAGCTCGCAATCGTGAACACTTGATGAGCTCCCGACTTCATCGTATCTAAACCATTTTGCATGTCACTGTACACTTAGTTTCTAAGGCCCAGTTCCACAACCTCCAATTAACTTAACTATTACATTGGACTTGACCAAGCGCATTTGACATTAAGAAGAATTAATCAGAATTAATCAATCACTATTGGGGCTTAACCGGTAGTTAAAATTAAACGGATGTTGTGGAACTTGGCCTAAATGGTTTAAACTCTTCTTCCTCGATGCTTTTTCGGAGTGCAGCCGATGATCCAATGAACTTAATTTCTGGAAAAAAACATTGTCTCATTAGACTATCGGTTACATTTCGAACTACAATGAGGAAAAAGTGTTCAAGCCCTGTTGAAACTAAATATACACTCGTTCGTCATGCTGTTTTCACTGTCGCGAGCCTCCTGATCACTAATGGATCAAATGAATCGGTTTCGACGATGAACTTCATCTGTGCTGATAAAGTTTACGCCGTTTAGAAATGATCCGGGATGTCTCGCGACTTACGCAAACGCATGCATCACCCTAGATTCCTATATTCGCGACAATTATTGCGCTCACTCGATCGCTCACGAAGATACCGCTCAGGTATCGTGCGCTTTCGCGAGCAAGGAATCGAGCGATAATCGTGCACGTGAGCGGGAGAACCGATTTCTTCCTTTTCGGCGGAAGTAAAAGGGAAGGGAAGAGGCGAGGGACACCGCCGGGCGATTTACGTAACGGTTTGTATTCCCAACTCAGAGAAATCGATGATACACGATCGATTTCATGCAGACAAATTACAACTCGTGCATCGTTCTCGTCGTCATTCTTCGTCGCTTATACTTTTTTTCTTCTTAATGTTATCAAGAAGATTACATCCCTCGGCGCAGTAATGATACTTTGTAGTTCATAAGCGCGCAAAGCTTTCTAAGAATCATAATTGCGCTCGCTCGTGTACAACCAATGGCGGAAAATTGCAACACGGTTTCTTAATTTTTTTTTTGCAATGAGTTCCGTAACGCATCCGTGTCCAATAAAAAAATTGGTTTTTCAGCAATTCTCAGAAGATAAATCTTTCTGTTGGATGCCATATACGTTCTGAAGTTTATCGAGTTAATATGCATTGTAAAAAAGATTCGTCGGAACAAGTCATATAAAATACATTTAATTTCATATTTGTATGTGACGAACTAAATGTTTCAATTTTCTCATTAAAATTTGCGTATTTCTTGTTTGTATAAAAATCTCTTGTTTGTATAAAATAGACTAAAAATTCAGTTCAATGAAGCGATCATAAAACTAAGCCGACATATTATTGATTATATTTACCATCTGATTTATTTAAATGTTCACTTGTTCTTCAGGTAGAATTATTCTAAAATAATATAATAATTCTAAAGTAATATTATAAAAACATCGATCTTTCGGCATTTGAAAGAGAACATCTATATCGTACATTAAGAAAAAATATCTGAGAAAATAAACAAAATGTTTATTCCGGTAGTGTTATATATTTTCGGATTACTAATAGAATCGGGTACTCTAATAGAATATTTGCTCGAATATAAACTCTTTTATTTAAATAGAATAAACAATTGTCTTTTGATGAAAAACTACAATTCTCGAAAAATGTTTTCTTGTTTGTACAAATTTTTTTTTCGTAACTCACCACGTCTTTTTATGCATCTTTGTATGCATATTAAAGAATATAGCATATTAGTATAAGTAAACATATAAAATTAGTTTTCATCAAATAGTTTTAATTTTCTGGTATTTCTTCTTTAATATCAGTTTATTTTCTTTCAACTTACATAGCCAAGAAGATAATAATTATATTCCTTAGCCACGCACATCCATCCATTCCTTATTTTTATGTCTATCTACTCACTAATATCTCTATAATTACATTGCCTCTCAATTGACTTTACAATATCATCCTCGTTACTTAAATACCCTTGTAATCTCCTTTCGCGATCTTCTTCATTTTCATCTAACCTTTATATTGCCTAAATCTTCTCCCTATTTATTATGTCTAATTATATTTTCCTATTTCACTCAACGGATACCATATTGCCCTCACACAATACTCCAATCTTTCCTTTCAACTGTATACACCCATCCTTTTATCTTTTCTCTTTTCTCTTTTCTCTTCCTATCTCTTCCTATTCTTATTTCTTCATTGTCCTCTTTATTCTCTCTTTTTCCTTTTTCTTTCATATCCTGTTAGTTTTATTACTCCACTCTATACTTCCTAGTAACTCCATGAAGTGATATCTTTGCCTTTTTCTTCACTTCCTATATATCTCCTTCAGCTTCCATCTTGCACTTCTGTGAATTAAATGCGACAGAATTTTTTTCTTGCGATTTGCATTTAATAGCGATGATCTTCGTATCTCGATATAGTCGTGCGCAGTCAACCATATTAAAATACGAAGATCGTACGGGTCGCATAAGAAGCCGCGGCACTTTCGCTCGCAGAGCAGTTCGTGATGCCGACGAAAAAGACCCCGAGAGCGAGAGTTCTATGCTACATAAAAGAAGGCGTCATTGTCCCCGTCTTGTCTTGAATTTCTTCGAGTCGCGCGAGAATATTCAACGAAGTTGTTCGATCGAAAAATCTACTTTATTCGATTTGTAATTCGCAACAGAATTCGTTTGATGAAATTCTATATTTGTAAAGAAATATGGAGTATATAAGAAATCACACATACACACATAATTATAACAGAAAAAAAGTTACATAAAAATTGCATTAAAAATTACGTAAAATTATAAATAGAATTCTGTCGCAAATTTTATCATGTATTAAGAACCTTCTAATACGAAGTTTACTAGTTTTAGGTTACTAGATTAATAGATTCAATATTTAGATTTGTAATCAATATTCTGATAGATTAATAGATTAAAGAACTGTTTATTACAAATTTAACGATTTGTTAAAATAATTATGGCCAAAGCAATTTGTCGCATTTGTGAATGAATGTGAATTTTAAAAACGCAAAAAGAAGGATTAGTATTATATTTAAAAAATCAGAATACATACATACAAGTTCAATTCGACGCGATAGAATCAGCTACATTCAGAAAAAAATATATAAGAAATAGTCAATATTTCTTTAGCACTATTACTAATAACATATTTTCTTAAATATAAATCTTTTCACCTAAATAAGATAAAAAATAATTGCTTTCATAGAAAGTTAAGGTTTTCCTAAGGTTTTAAAAAAGAATGTATATTTCCTTATTTGGAAAATATTTTATATCAGTATAAATAAACATATTATTAGTATCCGCCGAATAAATATTTACTATTTCTTAAATATTCTTTCTTTCAGTTATAATTCAAGTAATTTCTCAGTATTGATTAAAGCGCCGCGAACGTTATGGCCTGAAAATACCTCCAAACGTACGTCACTACGTCGAATTTTTTTTCCTCTAATTGAATTAATCATTAGGCAACCATCTATTGCGATAGATCTTATTGCCTTTCAACATTTCTCACGATTGTAAATCTAAATATTTTAATTTAAATATTCTTGAGCAGAATGTCGAAGAAAAGACTTCTAAGAAGTCTAGAGACGTCTAAGAAATATCTTATTAGGTGCCACTTATAAGGCATATCTTGATATATTAGATGTTATTAAACATCTACGCAGTTTGGATTGAATCGATCATCGGCTGAATAATCAACATTTCCATTGAAAATTATATTACACAATAATATATTGCGAGTTCATCGTTAACTGTAAACCACCTAAAACGAATTTTACATTTATCTCAGGTTCAATCAATATAGATTTTCGTCAATTATGAATTTATTGATTTATTTTGAATAATTTTATCGCGGATTATGCTGCGCAGCGATACATCACAGCCAACTTCCCAAATAGACAAAAAGATATCTTTTAAATTTCTAAAAGATATCTTGCCATGTCTTGAGATATCTTATATTTTTTACGAAAAGATATCTTTTAGAAATCTAAAAGATGTCTTACGCAACAGTTTATATTTAGCTAATATTTTTCAAATATCTTGAGATGTCTTGAAGATATCTTATAGAAATCTAAAAGATATCTTAAAGATGTCTTGAAAATATCTTATAGAATTCTAAAAAGATGTCTTATATAACATTTAAAGATGTCTAATAAGATTTATTTTAGATATCTTCTAGATATCTAAAAGATGTCTTGAAAACATCTTGAAGATGTCTAGCAGAAATCTGAAAGGTATGTTCTATAGCATTT